TGCCTTGAACTATTTTGGCCAATTGAAGGTATTTCTGAGTTGTTAAACCAAATATTGAAGCTTAAACTCTTGAAATAATATTCAGTTTGGAGAAATGCCCTTCAGCTGCAGTTGAAAGTTACATGTTACCACTACAGCTGAGTGTATTTAAGAGATTAATTATGGGATTGTCACATATTCTCTCCTCTATACAAAGCTGGGAATGTAATTTATCACCATAGGCTGAAAGCTATCCTCTCCTGAGCCCTGAGGAAAAGTTTGCTTCAGAGATGAGTATCTCTGAACAATGTGAATAAGTTTACTGTTCTAAGTACATATACATAAGTGATTGATTTTTGTTGACCTTCTCATTTGAGGTCTCAGCAGTTCTGTGTGATGATGAAGTGATGTTGACCATTAAGCCTGGAGAGCATGGATCTACCTATGGAGGAAATCCTTTGGCTTGCCGTGTGGCAATGGCAGCACTGGAGGTTTGTGTGTTGGGGTAGAGATTTGGAATCAAAAAACCACGTCACACCCTTTGACATGGTCTTTACTTAAATAAGTGATAGTATTGCTTATGCTGCAAGTAGAAATCTGGATTTAAGTAAGAACGGAAAATTGGTAGTTTTCTGGTTATCTGCACAAATCCCAAAACCAGTTCTAAAGTTTTGACTGGAAATGTGTCTTAATTCCTGTGTTTTATGACTTTAATGTCTTAAATGTCAAAATGAAGTTTATCCAGAGGAAGTTTCAAAGCACTTATGTAAATTTGATCCAATAGCTTCACTAATTTCACAAACTGACTTTGAAATTGGCTTCTTTGACTTTACCAGCAGAGGCTGCTGCTGTGTGAGCTTGAAAACATGTCTGGGAGCTTAAATGGAAGCTCAAATGTCCTGTCCAGGGTGTGTAACTGAATTGTTCTGTGACTGCCCAATTGGCCACATGTGGTGCAACTCAGGCTCTGCCAGGGGAGGTTTAGGTTAGATATTAGGAAGAAATTTTCTACAGAGAGAGTGATCAGGCATTGGAATGTGCTGCCCAGGGAGGTGGAGGATTCACCATCCCTGGAGGTTTTAAGATGAGACTGGATGTGGCACTTAGTGCCATGGTCTAGTAACCACGGTAGGGTTGGACTTGATGATCTTGGAGGTCTTTTCCAACCTGTTGATTCTATGATTCACTCAAGAAGCCTCATCCTTGCTCAGTACACAGACCTGGACAGATAAGGGTTTTCAGAGGTTAATTTAGAATAAGATTTCAAAGAGAAGATTGTTTCTTTTAAACATGAATGAGTAAAGGCTTGAAACTAACCTTGTGGGATATGCGGTGTCACTCTGGCTGCAACAGCTTTTGCACCTCTGCAGTTGTAATGTCATCCCTTCAGCATGGTGCATAAACCAAATGCAGTGCCCTTCAGCTGACTGTGGATCTGGCTTCCCTTTAGGTAATTGAAGAGGAAAACTTGGCAAAGAATGCAGAAATAATGGGGAACCTGCTAAGAAGTGAGCTGATGAAGACACCATCTAACATTGTAACTGCTGTGAGAGGAAAAGGGCTGTTAAATGCCATTGTGATTCGGGAAACCAAAGGTGAGCAAATAGAATCATTTGCACCATCACAGCATGAAAACATATTTTTCCACTTAAATTGAAGGTGGGGGATGGCATATAGGCATCATGTGCTCAGATCTTGGCTATATTTGAGTGACACTTAAGTGACTGTGTGCTGTTAAAGATAGGGTTTTATAACTCAGTAAGGCTGGACAATTGGGGTTTTTTAGAATTATTTGAATTTTTTCATGATTTGATAATGTTCAAACCTGATGGTGATTCTCCCTCCCAAAAAATACCCTTTTGTCTCCTCTTGGGAAGAAAACTGTTCACATCTGGAACACTAGTTCCTGCCAGAATGTGGAAGGATTGGCTAAGGCTGGCTGTTGCCTGGTTAGTCAGAAATGAATACAGGAGGGCACAAGGAGGGAAGAACCTAATGGCTGAGAACAAGTTTCTAGGGATTAACACTTGGAATTATATCAGAAAACTGCTTAGAAACCAGTGACACATTGTTTTTGTCATGAATATGCTAAGGGCTGAAGTGCTGCAGGGACTTAGTCCTGCAGTGTCTGGGTCACTGGACTAGTCCTCTAGTCCAGACACTAGTTCAGTGTCTGGATTAGTCTTGCAGTCACTTTAGCTAATCACCTTCCAAGATCTGAAGGGGCTCCAGGGAAGCTGGAGAGAAGCTCTTTGTTAGGACCTGCAGTGACAGGACAAGGGGCAATGGGGACAAACTGGAAGAGGGGAAATTTAAGCTAGATATTAGGAAAAGGTTTTTTCCTGTGAGGGTGGTGAGACACTGTCCCAGGTTGCCCAGGGAGGCTGTGGCTGCCCCAACCCTGGCAGTGTTCACAGCCAGGTTGGCTGAGCCTTGAGCAACCTGCTCTGGTGGGAGGTGTCCCTGCCCAGGGCAGGGGGTTGGGACTAGATGATCTCAAAGGTCCATTCCAACCCCTAAAATTCTGTGATTCCATGATAAAGTGCTGCAGTGCCTCAGAAAATGCTGTGATTTCCTAAGACATGCACGTGATGCACTGAAACCCACATTGCACAGAGGTAACCTCATCTGAAGCCTTGTCCACATGTTCTCTTACCTCTTTGCACGGTTCTCTGTGTTAAATGTAGTGCTCCATCTAGCCAAGCTGTAAAACTGTGTACTGGAGGCAAACTGGTGAGGCAAATTGCAGCTCTGCAGCAGTTTTGCTCGGTGCAGATTCCGAGGAGCTGCACGGTGACCTCTCCGTTTGCAAACACAGCCCAGATGGCAAACAGCTCCAGCCTGGCCCCACATACCACCTGCTGCAGCTGGGACACTTGTGCTGTGATGTCAGTGTCTTCAGTGTCTTTTCTTCCCCCTCTCCCTGCAGACTATGATGCCTGGAAGGTGTGCCTGCGGCTCCGGGACAACGGGCTCCTTGCCAAGCCCACGCACGGAGACATCATCCGCCTGGCACCTCCACTCGTGATTAAGGAGGATGAAATCAGAGAGTCCATTGAAATCATCCATAAGACCATCCTGTCTTTCTGAAATCCTGGCTTTGGCAGTCTGTCTCCTGCCTGATCCAAGGCGGTGTGCTGGAATACGTGATGAAGGCTGCTCTTGAAGCAAGCATCTCTCATTACTTTGATGTAAGAGGACTTGACTGTTAAAACATAGCTGTATCTTTAAGTTATAATGGCTTTATCAAGACAATACAGAATGATTTAAAAGACTTTCCAGCCTTGGAATACTTGGAAAGAAAATGGTGAGGAACTGTTCAGCTAGTTTTGTACCTACTGAACAGCTAACTCAGAATGTTTAAGGGGAGAGAGCTAGAAATGGGTTTCACTGTTGAAAGGCTTGGCCAAAGTTTAAAATGTGATTTATATATATATTTTAGTAAGGATTGTCTTGCACTCTCATATCACTCTCCAAAACATGTGGCATTTTTGCCCCTGGGCAGGATGTCTGTAGGGTGGAAGCACTTGCCATTATGGATGAATTTGTGTTTCTCATGTGCGGCTAGGAAAAAAAATGTTAATGCTGAAGGTTTGACAAAGTGGGTGTTATGCTGGTGAGCTTGAGAAGCATCAAGCCCTGTTCTGTATGTACAATATTTTGATTGTATGCCAAGAGATGCTGTTTTCAAGCCTGGCCTCAATGTTTGGCTTTGCAATCTTGTAAAGTAGATCTGAGCATATAGATCTGGTTTTACTGTTACAAAACTTTCTATGATCTGGATGTTTATATGAAATCATGCCTTGCATTAAAACAATGTTAATGTGCAATTAAAGTACAAAGTGCATTCAAAAAAGAGCAAAACCCACAGAAACTTGCAGTTTTTAATGTTTCTTAACTGAGTGGTTTTAGCTGAGTTTAAACCCTGATTAATCCCTGTTGGTGCAAAATGCTTGGGGGTTAAATACAATCACATGATGGTAATGGGAAGTGGTAAATAATCCCTTGGTATTTTAAAGGCAACTTAGTTCATGGAAGTGAACCAATCTGCTGGTTAGGTTCACAGAACTGTTTGGGTTGGGTGAGACAGAGTGAGGAGTCATCTGTGGATGAAGTAAGACTGATTTGCATTTGGAAAAGCCTCATTGCTGCAAGGGCTAATGTGTCACTGGGACTCTTGGTCTTTGGAATAAGAAAGAAATGCACAAGGCTGTTGCTGAGGAAGTCTGACATTCCTGAAAGCTGTGCTTATGTAATCTGATTGGAAAGGAGGGAAATAGCTGAAAGAAACCATAGTGTAAACAGCATTTCCTGGAGGCCTTTCAGAGACCAAGAGGTAAACCCCAAAAAATCCTTGGCAGCCCGAAAGTTTACTATTTCAGAGTAATAGTGCTGGCAAGGACAGAGGACATGGTCAGGTCTGTTCCCCTGCCCCAGTTACAGCTCTATCACTGTTTGCCTCATTGCCTGGAAGGTCTGTAGGGCAGAAGACTCCAGTCTGTGTGTTAGTGCTTCCCTGCCCTCACTGGCAGCAAGTTTCTTACTACATTCCTATCTGTCTCTCTTGCTGCCCATTATAGTGTCCCTCAGGCCACACAGGACAGGTTATTTTCCTTCTCTGCAACAGCCTTTCACATAAAGTTTATTATTCTTATTTCATGCCTTGCTCATTCTCTAGTTAAAAGTCCGAGTCTTTCCTGAGTGATGTTTTCTAGAGACCTTGCTGTTCTCCTCCTGCAATTTCCTGCTCCACCATGCCCTCACCAATGCTGGGTAGAGCCAGACTAGTTCACATGGTGCTGTTCATGCCCAGTATTGTGGGTTATTTGTCATGCAAACTGTTCTGAAGAACAGCTTTGAAGCTGTGTCCTCCCAGTTTTTATTTATGTAATCAGCAG